GATTAACGGAAAAAATGATCGATGATGATGTACCGCCATAACCGGTTTAGATGATGAGTGCAAGCAAATAGTTCATATCGGAAATTTTTAGACAATGGTTAATTTAGCTATCACTTCATTACGGAAAGTCCTTGTATGTCTCAATCCTTGTTTCACTTTTCTGAGTGACATTTCTTTGAAGGCATTAATTAAATGATCCTTCCATCCACCACAAGATAAGAATGGTTTCCGAACGATAGCGCCCGACTCTATAAAATGTGTTTTTCCAATCAACCGATAATGTGTATCAGTACCGTTTGCTCAACTCGTCGGAGATTGAAAATGAATGAGCTTGTCAAACAATCCAAATTATCGATAATGTAAACAAGCAATTCTAGATCAGCAGTTAGAAGCACTTCATTTTTTCAAATATTATGTGACAAGTGATTTGCACTAGTAAACCATTCGATATAGTATGGGAAGTTGGAATTATCCCAAATGTTTCCGCATTACCTTGAACAGATGGCTTCAAATAAGCCTACGTTTCTAATTTTTGGCCGTAAGATTTCATGACTACAATGAGCTTTTTTAAGACACTTATACTTCTTCTAAATGCACGACAAATTAGACAGTTGTACATAGTTCTCTTGCTAATGTTTCTGCTTCTTATCACTTATCATATGGTAAAAATTATTCATCAAATTGGCAAAGTTTTTAACATGGATAGTAATAAATAATAATCTCTGAAGCGATCGAAAATACGAATATAGCACTAAGCATAACTATTACCGCCAAATAATATTTACTTTGATTTGTATACTCACAGCAAACAAACTGAAAAAAAATTTCTGCCCAAACAAAAGATGCGAGTATTTATTTTCATTATAAAAAATAAAAAAAGAAAGAAAACAAACCACCGAAACAACTCTAGGAGAAATCATAAAGTGATTCCTTCTATAGTACAGGTAAGTTGTCAATGATGGAAAAGCTGCACAGTACAGCAATGAAACAAAAAGTTGTCTGAATCTGAATGAAAAAAAAAGTAGCGAGTTAGGTGACAAATAAACTTGCCAACTAGTAAAAGATCATTCACCGCGAACCAAAGCCTCATTTAATTCAATTATTAGCAAATGATTCAGTTTCATCATAACCTCCCTTTTCTTTCTTTAAATTTATTGTTTTCACTGAAGTTCTTTGTATTAACGATATTACACAAACGCATAATTGCTAATTTTACGTTCTCATCCACATAAATTTCAACCATTTGAAATTTTCAATTCTATATTTGAAGTCAAAATTTGATAGAGAAAGAACTTTAATGATATCAATTATTAATGCTAATTTATGCAATGTTATTACAGAAGCTATAACTCACTGAAATATCAACTTTAAACATTAATTCCATCATTAAAAAAAATTAAGGATGTTTGATAATTTTCAGGAATAACTGCAAACAAAACTTACTTATTTTTTGGTTATGAAATTTTAATTATAGAAATTTTTTCCCAATTTGTTTCTTTTTGCACAAAAAGAACTAGCTTCTTTCTTCCTTTTTAAATTGAAACAATTTCCAAAAACGAAACAACACCATCGGTCAACTTTCATGCTCTGAAATGATTCTATAAAATCGTTACCGGTGATTCAAAACAGTAATTTATAACTGAATTAATTGATTAGTTAAATTACATATACCTTCATCTCTTTTCTCCCTGTTTTATTCGAACTGTGGAAAATTTCCAACCAAATTTCTTCTTCATCTTCCAACTCCTTCTATTACATTATAATTGATTCACATCTGCTTTCTGATTCCCAACAAGCAGTATATACATGGAGAAAGTACAATTAGAAGCCATGAAAAACCGAATCAATCAATTAATATACGTTTACGTTAAATGGATTAATTGCTTCTCAACTTCCAAATGAATACGGAAGGCCAATGGATTTCAAATATGCCTTCATACTACTTCATCGAATATACCCAGACAACGTAATACCTTCACTTTTATCTTCCAGAACACAAACATACAATAAAGTAGCACTCCTGTGTCACGTAACACACGTAGAACATAGCCGCCACACAGACCCAGTAAAATCAACCTCATGTTCCCCTGATTCTCTGACCGTCCGTATAACGCTACAAAGTCGTATCACCTGAATGCACGTATCTCGCAGTTCCCTCGTTGTCTGATATAGAGTGCAATCTGATATAGAGCGCTCAAACCACTTGATTTCCCGAGGTCAATTTTGGTTGTCTGTTCGAGTCAGGTCACGTGTGTCTTAGTTGAGTCTTTCCTTTGTGCGTTATCATTTTAGATATATCCAGGTCGAGAATGATAATTTGTGGAAATACTTCAGAGCAATTAGTACTGAACTCCGGACAGATAAGAGAATCTTGTTTTAATGTGCGATACTTATGGTGCCACGAATTCACGTGGGATTACGAGAACTTGTCGTAACATTCATTTTTCTGAAGCTTAAATAGCACGAGTATCACATTCTGATCTGTTTGCTTTGGTGTGATGTCGTTGGTGGAAACTGGTTGGCGACAATTTACCTTTTTTGAGAAGCACACTGTCTATGATCCGAATAATCCTGAATGCAAGTTTAACGGGTTAAAGGTTTCCTTTTAACTTCTCTTCTTTATAATGCATAAAACTGTTCAGTGGTCGATTTCGTATAAGAGTATCTAAGTTCTATTTTAAAGGTGCAAACAGGTACAATACTTATTATGGAATTTTGGATGTATTTGCAGAATCTCAAAGCATTTCGTTCTGTATCTGGTATTGGATTTACAATATTCGGAGAAGCGTGTGGTGCAATATTCAAATTGTCGAGTAATTTGGAGGAATACTGTTGGATTGCCCATAAACGCTCACTGGCTGATATAGCTCTTGCTGGTCTTATTCTTGCGACAGTCGGAGTAAGCTGTTTAAATTCAATTGTTTAGATTTGAAAAATTGAGCTAATCAACTTTTTGCGCATTAACACATATCATTTCACATATTTCCCTAGTGTCCGCCATTTAAATTGATTCCGTGTTTTAGTTACACTGGATGCTGTTTAAAGGGTTATACAATTGCTGGTAATAGAAGTTCGAGAAACTGAAAAAGAATTAAGGACAATGAGATTGGAAGCTATATAAAAAATATGTGTACAAATGCTAAAACCTAAAGAATAGTCTAAAATAAACTGAAAACATGAACAAATTTGCACACATTATCAAAATGTTAAAAAATGATATAACTAAAAAATCGTAAAGCTAAAATGGAATGAAAAAACGACTAATTTGCAGGAAGATGAAGAAGGGATTAACTCGTTAGTTAAATTATGGCAATTAGATCGAATTGAGAAAGATGCACCGTTTTGCATACGCGTGATACGTGTATGTCCTCTGTTAGGTGTTGGACGTAGTACGCGAGCATGTGCCATTGCGTTACACTCATCTTTACAACATATCGCTGTTGGTTTCGTTGATTCTTCGGTTATTTATTCCACAAGTAATATTAAAGAAAAGTGAGTTTCAGCTGCTTCATAACCTACCTATTGTTTCAGAAATTGTTAAAATTAACTGTAACAGCTGGGTTAAAATATTTTTTTCTCCTACGGATAAGTTTTTGTTTTAATGCTACTGTTTGACATGAGTTCTTTGAAAAGTTGAACCATTTTTCGTGCAAAAGTAAGGCTAAGGAAGTATAACAACACCACTTATCAATTGTCAGGACAGAGAACCAACATGCAAATCCCTTTCTGTTATCCTGAAATCATAGGATGGCGCACGTAATTACTGTAGAAGTCAAGCAGATATGTCAGAAATATTTTTTAGCATATATTTCATACATTTTACAGATTCTGAAAGACCATGTTATAATGGGATTTCAGATCTGGCAAATGGCTTATTGTGGTCAATGGTTCAAGTTCAGGACCAGGTGACGAAATAACAGGTGTTTTTCTTACGTGGATTGCCACTCAGGATCTCTGCATCCTATATTGTTTAACGTCTACATCCGTATTATCTTTTTCAATTACCAACAAAACCGTCACAAATAAGGTGTTTTTTCTTGTTTTTCCTTTGGATGTGAATTTTTTTGATACGAAAATAGTATCGAATAAATTCTTAACTTTTTTTGCAGTTTTTTTTTGTAGTTTTGAATTTATTTTGTATTTTTATTTTCTGGAATGTTAAAGGATCCTCTTTAAAGGTCGTACACGATGCGAAAGGCTGTCTTCGTGACTGCTGGAGTTTTAATGAAGCGCGCAATCAACTTATTGTGGGTAGTACGGAGGTTCACTTTAATCCTTCTGTGCTTATCTAACTAAATTATATGGAAAATGTGTGTTAGATGTGGATGTTTCATATTTCTTTACTTTCAAGTATAAATAACATTTTGCTAATGGGAATAATATGTTTTGGCGAAACACAGATATTACCTTTTATAGATGGTACACTTCTATGAAGCAGAACGGAGTTTGACCGCTGATCCCGACAGCGGTAAGGGTCGTTGCCATGCTCTTGGTAGAAGCAATGAAAAGATCCAATTAATTGCATTTGATCATCACGTTGCATTACTTACAAGGCAGCCTACTGCTGTACCGTTAGTCTTCAAATTTAATTCTTCAAGTGAAGAGGTAGGAGGAAATTGTCAGCTCGGAATGGTCCTGAAACTTTTTGCTTTTTTCAGAAATTTACTATTAAAACTTACCTACGTTATTTCAATATTTTTCACTTGTAAGCAGATCATAAAGAATTTTAACATTTATTTCAGGTCGTCAAATGAAATGTGGACATATGTTGTCTCAGTATATGATACCGAAGGGCAAAGTGTTGCGTTTTCATGTGCTCTTCCAGCTGTTGCAAGGATGTTTTTATTGGATAATGTATTAATGGTTCTTAGTCAAGACGGAACGCTTTCAGCCCTTACAGAAAAAAGCATCAGCTCGAAATTGGATATTTTATTTAAGAAAAATTTGTATGATCTTGCTGTTGGGTCAGTTATTCAGTGTCTTCGATACCGTACATTATAATTTTTTTAATCGTTCCCGTCGTTTTCTTTCTTTCTCTATTTCAGTACCTTTTATTTCGCAAATTGCAGAGTTGCTAAGAGAAGTTCAGTTGCTTCGGAATATCTTCCTGAAATTTATAAGAAGTACGGTGATTATTTGTACAGGTATGTGGGTCATTATTCGCGCATTATGTCATGTAATTATTTTTATTTCCTGAAATGATTTATTCTAGAAGTGGGGATTTTGAAAATGCAGTACAACAGTACACGGAAACTGTCGAATATCTAGAGCCATCATATGTTATTAAAAAGGTTCTGTTTTCAAATAATTCCCTAATTTCACAATTTGCGAGCCATGCTAATTACGCTTATCCACTTTCGTGTACTAATGGAAGAGATTTGGCAGTTAATGTTTTCATAACGAATAATTTTCAGTTTCTGGATGGTTCTCATATAAAAGAATTGTGCATGTATTTAGAAGTACTTCACGCTAAAGGTAAGGCGAACAGTCATCATGCGACCATATTATTGAACTGCTACATCCGTTTGGCAGCACGTGATAAAATTCGTGATTTTATTGACCGTAATTTTGAATGCAATATTGAAACAGCTGTTCAGGTACCTTTACAAACTTTGGAAACTAAATTTGGAAAATATATCGTTAATATGCCGTAATGCATGAGATAAATAACCAAAAACTATCTGTAAAAATTTCAGTGCTACGATTTTTTAACCAAAAAAGTGTTTCATTATTAAACACACGCAAATTGTTTAAGAGTAGACCAGTCCACCTTTTTCAAATGAATCCTTTTGTAAATTTTATATCAGTGTCCTCAATCTAGAAACGTTCTTTGACATTACAGTACCTGAATGCTTAATCTATTGCTGTTTTGTAGCGTTGCCCAAGGACTCATTTTATTACTTATTTTCATTATACTATTTGGTTTTCGTATGCTGAATTCTGTTTGTCCTATCCCTTAAACACAACTCCGATAATTTTATGGAAGTGAGCTTCGAAGAATGACATTACCTTCTACGTACCCATGCTTCCTTGATGACAAATTTATGATTGATGAACTAAAAAATCAGTTTTGAATGTTTAAAATACAGATACTTCGTGCAGCAAATTTTACAACGGAAGCGTGTCATCTTTGCGCGAAGCATAAGCAGCATGATGCATTGTTAAGCATCTTAATCGAAGATCGAGCTGATTATAAATCCGCGCTTAAATATATTGCCAAACTGGAAATTCGCCAGGTTTGTTTTTCGCTTTGCGTTGAAGTAAGAATATTTCGTATCAAGTGCTTGATAATCATTCTTGAAAAAAGGGTGAAATTTACTCACGACTTTTTTTTTCAAGTCCAGGTTGAAGCATGCTTGGAAAAGTTCGGAAAATGCTTATTGATAAACAACCCTGAAGAAACGATGAAGCTGTTATCGGATAGAGCGTGTTTCAGTTGGTAGTTTGATTATTTGTGAACTGGGAGGATAGGACGATAGCATTGTTAAACTTTCGTGATTTACTGTTTTTTAAGTTGAGCAGTTTATTACAGTTGAGTGAGGAATTGTGGGGCCACTATTTGAAAGTTTCTTTTATTAATCATTTCTTGCAAATATGTGGTATTTGTTGCGGGGATCCAAAGTGAAGGAATTTCAGGCCAAATCAATGGTCTTGCCTTGATGAAAGTATTCATTGGACTACCTTCGCAATGTACCAGATTTATAGAAACAGCACTGAAGATGGTGTTCATTTTTTGGAGTCATTTTTTCAGTTCAAAGTAGTTCAAATTCAGTAGTAAATATTCAAAGATTTGATCATTGTACACGCGCAATGTCATGTCTCAAAAATAGATTAGACGTAGTATTGCCCATTAGATTGTCATTTCTTTGTTTTGTTATCTGTTCGATTTAATTTTGTTTTCAGGACAAGAAAAATAATGAGAAGTTGCATAATTTATTGTTAGAACTTCGACTTCGTCAGTGGGCACTACGCAACGTAGGTTTTTTTTTTTTTCTATTCGATTTGGGTTCCAGTGCAGGAATATGTTTGTAGTTTGTTGATGTTCTTTACAAATATTTTTGTTATTCAACATCATTGTTTTCATTTACTTTATTCTGTTCACTTCATGATCGAAAAATTCTAATTCTTGTGCTTCATGATACGCCTAATTATGATGAAGACATTGTGGAATTAATCGGAGACGAAAATTTGGAGGAATCCTTGAAATTGTGTCAGCTATTCAATTATGTCCCAGGAATCATTGACATATATAAAAAGATGAAAAGGTAAATTTCTGACAATTACAAGAGATAAATTGCACAATATTTTTGGTGTTTTAATCGATTACGATGAATTTTGTAGATACGATAAACTTATCGAATACTACATGCGACAAAACAAACTCAGAGAAATCGTTGAATTTTGCGAACAGGAAAAGTTTGTTTCAAAATTTTTCTTCATTTCAGGTCTGCATGGACGTTACGCAAATATATGTGATTTTTTTCTGGCTCTTACAGCGGCTTAAAGTTAAATAAAGAGCAATAATTTTCTTGTTTTCAGCAGTCGTAACCTGTGGATCGATGCGGTAGTATTTGCTTCGCGCGGAAAAGATATAGATCCCGACGCAATGAAACTTTTACTTGAGCGGTTAGATCTGTTGGCGTCAATTTCTCTGACTAAAATATAATTTGTTTTCAATATGTTTATTTGTTTACTTGCAGGATCGAAGCAACGAATAGCATCCACCCACTTGTTGTTCTCGAAATCCTTTCCAAAAGTGACAAGATTTGTGTTGGTCATGTGAGGGATTATATTATCAATTGGATGGAGCGACAAAATGCTCAGGTATTTTTACATGATAATATCTACAATGTTTCCATATTTTAATTTGATTCTTGCCAGCATGAAGTATTCGTGCAGTTGTTGGTAAGTCATTAAGCTGGCCATTTGTTTAGCAAGTGCCATCCGTGGTAGTAGCGCAGCTCTTCATGGAAAATGACACATATTATTTTCGTGATCTTTCATTATCAAACTGCCAGTTGTTGATAAATGAATAACTGATTTTCTTTCCTTAATCATTAAATGAATATTTGAGATCGAGAAAGATGAAGAAGCAATTGCCGAAAATGAGGCGAAAATGGCCGAAATCGAGGAGCAAATTGATAGCGTTACTTACAAGTCCGTATTTTAAAAGCTTTAAGCCTTTGCCAGCCATGAATCCAACTAATTTGTTGCGTCATTTTGTCCAAAAATCAGTTGCTTAATTTGCAGGGTGCAAATTTTTCAAATGAACAAGTGCTCTGCATGTGACACCTCTCTTCAACTACCTGCTGTACATTTCCTATGCAAACATTCCTATCATGCTCACTGTCTCGAATCGTATAGTGAAAAGGCTGACTACTGTCCAGCTTGTATACGAGACAGCTGTAATGAAAGGTTTATTACGGCGACTACTTCATTTTTCTGTGTTAGAAAGATATTTTATTGTGAAGTATTTTATGTTTTTCAGAAATTTATAAAAGATTTGACGTAATTTTCTTGCATTGGTAAAACTGTAATGATTAACTTATAGATTTTTAGGATACGAGATGATAAGAGGCGAGATTTCTCCACGCGTAGTGCTTATATTAAATTTCAAAATGAGGTGTGTGCTTGAAGATCTAACGTTGTTTATCAAATGAATCAGGAAAAACGATTTGCTACTAGAACAGAATGATCGAGTAGTGTTATACTGATCGTCTAGCCCACATAACACGTCATTTCAGATAAACGAATCAGTCGATTGTATGAGCCTTATTTCTTCATACATTGGCAACGGACTTTTTGACTCGTGGTCGAAGAAAAGAGGATCTAACAATGAAAATGAATGGGCTAGTCCTCAGTCGGATACTAGTGCGACGAATAAATTAAATTTAAATGAATTCGAGGATCGAACATCCACAGAGACAAGTTCAATGAGTACAGCAGCTCCTAATCCTTTCCTTACTCCAAAAACGATGAATTCGCGTACGGCAAAATCTGTAGAATCGACTAATCCCTTTGATGTTGATGAAAATTCAAAAAATCCCTTCGAAGAAGACTTATGATCACTACTGTGCAGAATTCTCGGATTTTTATCCAGAATATGGAGGACATATTCTTTCATATTTCGGGAGTTTTAAGGTTGGACAAGAATGCATGTCAAAAATGTGCCTTATTACGACTTCTATATTTTACAAGTTACGATATAGTTAATCATGTATTTCATCATCTGATAAAACCAGTCATTTAATACCGAAGTTCACCCAAGTAATAAAGACCTAAATGTTGTGCCAAAACTAACTTTTTTCAATTTCTAATCAGATATGTGATGCAATCAGTTCGTTTAATCACAGCAATGATCATAGGTCATTAAGTTTAGCAAAAGTCATACTTTCCTCTGCGTTATTTACGTACGTGAAAAAAAGAAAAACCTAAGAAATGAACCAGTCCAGTTTGTCATATTAGAACCAATCGTAGGATGTCTTTTTTAAGATCGCATGATGGATTATCATCCGCTACCAAGAGGAAGTCGCCATAACTGTCTTCGTGGAATCTTGCTTAAATCCTCATTTCCTTTGTTTTGAAAAATATTTAACGATCATTTTGCAGCGGTTTGTTTCCCACAACACTGGAGGAAAAGCAAGTCTTTAGTTCAGAATTTATTTGCAATGATATTTTCATTCATGCTGGAAGTTGATATTCGAGGACTAAAGTATCATTTCCCTTTAACTCGAGAAAATCCGAATGAATTTTATATAAACTTTTTACGGATCCCGCAATATGTTGCGTGCAAAAACTTTCGAATTCAATCAGAATTACTGCTGATGCAGAGTTCAGCTGGACAGTTAAGAGCAATTTTATCAAGTACAATATCCCCGTAAGTAGTTTGCTTAATTCTGAATTCTTTGAAATTAATTTACACCAACGAAGTATACCAGAAATCTATATGAGAATGGAATCCTCTTTTTCCTGAATCTTGATTTCCCGGTAAATTTGAAGTACTTCCTGTATCTGACGGCAAATCGAAATATCTGCGTGTAATTTTAACAATGCTTCAATAGACTCGTCAGTATTACTTTAAAACTGTTTCTTGCTTTCGCTGAAAAAAGTAAGCTTATGACGGTAATTAATGGGAAGGCCAGGCATTATAACGATCAATTGAGCCTCATAGCAATCATTGTTGCAGAACTCCAGGATTCTTCGGAATTCGGAGTTTTAAGGTTCTGGGTCAGTAAACCTTCGGAAAGTGCGTATATTATCCGAAAATTTCGAGTAACAATGGTGATTTTGAATTAACAACTGCAACAAATTAGTATTTACTTAGTATTCAATTAATATTTTTAGACATTCCAGGTTTCAAATGAATGTAAATATGGAGTAAGACGATTCTGTTACGAAAGCACTCCGGACAAATTCCTAACTTCTATCTATTTCCCTGATATTGATAGTAAACCTCCTACTCCTCTTACCAAATCATTATTTGGAGGATTGCTGGTATCATTTCAGCGATACCTGAAACAATTCTTCTGTCTATTGAGATTTTTTGGTTAAAATCCTTACTGCTATTATATTACAAAACATGAATCATTCTAAGTAAATTGGCATAAGAAACATGTACCAATAATTAGGCAATAGTATATATCATTTGTAGTCATTTGGACAATTTTGGTTCATCACTAGATTTTGAGATTTTTTTAGATCATTTCTTCTCTTAATATAGTCTATAATTGGTTAACTTATCAATGGCCATATAAATTGATGAACCAAAAAATAAGAAAGTAAAAAAAAACTAAATCAAAATCACTGTAATCATCAAAAAAAAGTAATAATAATGTGAAAATAACGTTCAAGAGAAAAGGAAGGGAGCGCTATTTGAAAGCACATAATGAGTAATGAGCTGATTTCAGATAGCGATCGTTTTGATATTAAATGAAAAAAAAGAAGAGATTATAAAGTGGAAAAATTAAATGCTATAAAGAGGAAGAGAACAATGTTTAATCACCGAATGAATATATTCCTGTCCTTCGTATTCCTCCTCTTTCCTTTTTTTTTTTTTTTGTCAAATTGAATAATTGAAAAGATTTTGAAAATTTTTAGGACTTGTAGGAAAAATAACGAAATTTCAATTTGATCTAGGATAATTTCAAGTTCGATTTCTTGATAGTTTCAGTTTCGATTTGATCGCATAAATTATTCAAAATGCATTTTTCATACAAATATTCAATAAAAATATTTGAGGGAAAATGAAATTTTGCATGGAAATGAATGGAAATAAAAGAATGATTGTCAATATAACATATTTTGAACTAAATATTATTTCAAACAAAGATTTAAGACAATTTTCAGGAAAAAAAAATTCCACTGAGAGAACATTGATAAGATGGAATAACTCTAAGCTGACTATTGATAGTTTTTTTTTTTTTTATTTTTTGAGATGATAGTTAACGATGCATATACAGATATATAAGATATATAAATAATCATACAAATTTGGCTGCTGGTGTATCCTTTGACATATGATCTATCCGAATTTCTTCGTCGAATCTTGCGGAATGTATCCCTGAAAATATGCTATTAATTAAATATTGAAAATGAAAGAAAAATTATTATGAAGTGATTTTGGTTGTTGTGCTTTTTAGATTTTTAAGATTTTAAAAATCTAATTTTAGATTTTTAGATTCTAGTAAAACAAAATAGAATTTGTGAACTTTGATAATATTGAAGATTTTTTTGGAGATTCAGTGCACTAGATTTTTTGATGAAAGTCTTGGCACAATCTAAATGTTCCAAAGGCTTTGAAAAAAATTAATTAGTCTTTCAAGAGCAAATGCAGTGCTACTAGTCATTTACTCAAACCTCCACCTAATTTTGTTTTTTTTCCTGACAATCGATAATATAAGGTATTTTTCGGAATAAAAACTAATTAATGATAATTCAATTATTTGTTTGAAAAATTTTTAAATGAAAGATGAAATCATAGAGAAAAAGATAGAGGATAACAAGCATTTCAATATTTCAATTAACAACTAATTTTCAAAAAAAAAACGAAAGGTGCACACTTTTAATTCATCAAAGAATACTGGAAACAAACTAACATCTTGCTAATACTGTAAAGATAATTCATGCATTTCAACCGATAATTTAACTTTATAATACTCTCATTTCAATTAACTTAGCATTTCCATATTTCGAAAAGAACATATTCTGTTTTTTTCGATCAATTTATCACTTTAGGAATTATGAAAAAGAAAATTTGAAAACTTCGGGAACATTTTTGAAATTTTTCGAAATAGATGTATTCGTTATGCAAATGAAAATAATTGAAATTTCTAATAAATCAAAATCAAAAATGTGTGTGTGTGTGTGTTTTTTTGTTCTTTTTTTTTTTCTTTAGAAGGAAAGAAACAGATGACTAGACGATAGACGAACTTCGTTGTTCTTCTCTTTCACGTGCAAGTTGTAGCCTACGATAACTGGCACGAAGACGTTCGGCAGTAGAAGTTGTCAACGAAGTTGGATGAGCAGTACATGCATTCGTTTGGAATGCTCGAATAACACGCATCTGCAAGACTGCGTCATTCAGTTTGCAAGTGCGTTAATTCAACCAAACATGCTATCATAGCAAATGATATTAAATTACTACAAACCATATCATATCATATCATATTCCTGGATACCAAAATAAGGAAAAACACTATTTCTAAATGGACAAATTTTAAATTATATATATCGTGCAATAGTTTATCCTATTATTACGTATATTCTATATCTTTAAATGGTTATACTTCGATTTTACTGTTTTACTTTTCCCTACTTTACAATTTCTCTAATTTTCCTCAATTTCAATATGGAAAATGCTTAAAATATTATCAGATATATAGTCATTTCTTTTATGAATGTGATACAATCAGAAAAACAGAAATGTTTTTTTTTCTCAAATTTGTGTAATTTTGACATTTTAAAAATTCTATCTAATCTACTACTATTTGTGCTAATGATAGCTCATATAAATAATAATCTATGGAAGTGAAAATGCAAGAATTAAAGGTTAAATGCTGGAATTAGAGGTTAATCCATAATCATGCCTAATAAATTCAAATAATAAGAAAACGAACAAGAAAACTAATCAATAACAATTCACTGCACATTATCACAAATCACATTCCTGATTATATTGGTAGCTAGCAATCGATTGAAAAATGACCAGGAAAAAAAAAAAACATACATGCGTGAAAAATCAATGATAAGATAGACCTGTGTTTGCAGTCTTGTCAATCCAAGAAGCCATAACATTTGACCAGGCCTTTTTTGATCTTCCTTTGGAATGCCTTTTACAATACCATCACTTGTATCATATTCGCCAGTAACTAAGACTGAAGTTGGCTGAACTTCACCACCACCAAATGAAAAGCATTTGGGTAGCACTTTACTTGGTATTGTTGCTAGAACCTATAAATTATATCCAAGATATTATTGCTAGAAAACCTGTAAATTGTGGCCAACTATTACAGTATAACAATTGAAAAGTTCTCAATTTGCTCATGTAAATGAAGCGAAATCCACGAATGTGAAGCGTAATTTCTAACAATCAATAAAATCTAATCATATTCATACATCTTTTTTATCCAGAAAAACCAAAACCGAATGAAAATAAAAACAAAAAAAAAAACAAATAAACGAAACAAACTTGGCCCCATAGAAGAGTACCAAACCCACAGGCTACACAAACAGCCCAGTGAATTTCGTTCAAAGGAGCTGTTGATACCCATGCGCCACCAAATTGTACAATTAACACCTGCGAAATCAGCGTCAAAATCCAAATAATACAAAATAACGGATTCGTAAAAAGGCCCTAAAATTTAGAATTGTTGTGAAATATTCAAGATTTGAAAGAATAAATTTAGCAAATGTTTGTCTTTGTGTGAAAAAGTTGCATAATAAATGATCGTTGAAATTGAAACAGCAAAATGTTGTGAAGGAATGAAATTTGAAAATTTAGATTTCTTGCAGAATTTATGATATGTACAGTGCGCAAGGCTGCAACAATTTAGGTAAACCTCGAAGACATTTCGCTCTCCATGAACCTTTCGTGAATTAATTTCATTTATGAGAGTCATCAAAACAAAAGCATTGAAAATTATGGTGAAATGTTTCGAAGGTGGCGAATTAAGCGGCGCCCAACGTCCATTTTCCACGTCTGGGATGAATTTATCGCCTGGAAAAGAGATTTGAAATTTTATTTTATAAATCAGCGAAAAGTTGTAATTCAACAAATATAACAGTCTAATTTTACGACACTTTATGCAATGTTCATTGATAACTTGAATTTACAAAATTTGTGATTTCAATTAATTAAATGAAATGAAATTGAGTAATGAGAGATGATAACATTATTTATCAATTTGAACGAACATGTCATGTCAAAAGTTTGATTACTTACCCCAAAAAAGAATGGCAAACAAAATGGATAACTGAAAAATAGCATGACCAACGATATTCTTAACCATTGTTCGTGAAATAAGTGATTTTGTACGTCCGTAAGGTTTACGTTCCAACAAATTTTCTGTTGGCAATTCTGTTGCCAATGCTAATGAAGCTAACGTATCCATAATCAAATTTACCCATAACATTTGCACAGCCTGAAAGGTTAAACTCATCAAAATACTGGATATCATTTGCATATCATAGATGATAATTCAATTTATCAATTTAAAGGGATTTAACAAAAAAAAAAAAAAAAAAAAGGAAAATAATTTACTTTCAGAGGAGAATCATTTATTGCACAGGCACCAATAAATGCAATTGTAACAGCAACAACATTCACTGTTAGTTGAAATTGTAGAAATTTTGAGATCGAATCATATACATTACGGCCCCACATGACCGCTTTTACAATGGATGTAAAATTATCATCAGTTAAGATGATATCTGATGCTTCCTTTGCAACATCCGTCCCAGCAATACCCTGAAATTTTAGTTTATCCTTTTTTTTCTCCTTATTAGAGATAATTTTACAAAGACCGATCTTCTTGACTAATTTCTAAAATTACTCATTTACTTTTCAATTACTTTTTGCAAGTATAATATTGCTTACTTACTTTACAATTATTTACCACGATTGTTTATTGTCTTATCAGCGATATTTATCTCTTATCACTATCTCGTATTCAAAGTGCCAATAAATGTAGTTGTTTTCTTCGAAAAGCTTTTCCACCTACCATTGCAAATCCAACATCAGCCTTCTTCAATGCAGGCGCATCATTTGTCCCATCACCGGTGACAGCCACCACTTCTCTGCAATTACCCATTCCTATGTAAATAAACGATCTGTGTTCGGTGTATTAACAGACATTTAACGCTACTGAAAAATAGCAAAATATAAATTAAATCCTATGTTCGTATACAATCCAATCATTCTTATAAAAATACAATTTCAGGACAAAAAAAAANAAAAAAGAAAAAATTGACTTCTTATAACTGAGATAAAAACAAAAATTATTTCTAGAAATATTACAAAAGATAAGGAAGAATGAATAAGTTTGATGATGAAA